CAAAGCGCTACCGCCAAGCTTCGCTCCCCCCCATGTGGACAAACACACGGCGAGGGCGACAGCAAAAGTCGAACGGGCGGCGCCTGAATCAAAAGACACGGCGACATCCTTGAGACGAGGGAGAGCAACCTCCTTAAAGGCAATGCCAATGGGGTCTAAGATTTGGAGCGCTCGCCGAAGAGGAGTACGACAAAATAGCGCCCGTGATTGCCTGCACGCTGCCACAGCACTGACAGACTCCATACCCGAAAGAAAGAGAGGGGAGCTTGCAGGAGAGGTGAGGGAACTACAGGTAGTGGGGAAGGCAGCTTCGATTTGCCATACAGACATGGGTGCGAAACAACGACAAGACCAAGGCACGGGCAGAGGAGCGAGAGAAGAACATAGGATGGATAAAGCGCCTGTTCACGGCATGGAGGGTGAGTCACGATGAACGTAATGAACGTAGAGCCGAACGGGAGGAAGCCGGGCGGAAGACGACTCCGAGGAGGACGAAACACCAGTGGTAATCCCGCCGTCAGCTGTCACGATATACCCGAAGGGAACCCCAGTGCCAACACCGACCGTTGTGCGTTGAGGTTCAAGTGCTCGAAACGAGAGTGAACCTGAGCAACGACATGACTTGGTTCTCGAGGTTCTCGAGGTGGATATCCTTTGGCCGCGTTGGGTGACATGACTTGGAGGCAAATGAAGAATTTAAACAAAATAAGTCTCTCTCACAGCAGACAGGCTCGACACAGGTGCGAACTGGCGCGTGCTAGTACTATCACAGGCACACCACCGGAGCCGCCTACCAGCGACTCCGTTAAGAGCGGCAATGGAGAAATGATGCATTGGCCCCAGAAATTGAATATTCTTACTGTATCTTCTGCCTTGCCTCCGACGCTAGAGACAGTCACCACGGATACATACGTCCGTGGGAGTGCCCCCCTCCCCCACCTGCCCTGCTTACACAGGATAGCATGCCCCGAGAACGGCGACATTTGGCGGGGGGAACCAGGGAAGGAGGTTCGGGTTAGTCTTTCTTTTTGTCCTCTCGGGGGAATGTTCTCTCGGCGCCCATGGCCTTCTGAGGTTTCGTACTAATGACGTCCTTCTTGGCACTTCGGGCGTCGGTGTGTGCGTATCTGTGTGTCTAATTCCCCCGGTATGCGATTATATAGGTTTCGAACAGCGACCTCCCTCTCACTCGCAGCGATTTCTTGCTGGATACCTTTCCGCAAGCGGAAGGTCGCCAGTTCGAAACCTGCTTGACCCTTATATTTTTTCTCACCTGAGCGGGCTCAATTTTGCTCTGGGTGCCTCCTACGAATTCGAACCCACGTTTTTCGGCCAGGCGGCCGGTGCGTTGGTCGTTCTCGTCATGGGATTTAGGCTGTATATGCTTTTCCTCTCGCACCCCGTCTGTTTTCCTTTCCTTTTTTTCTCTACAGCACCCTCTCTTTCCTCTCTATTTTCCCGAGAAAACTCCGTGGAAATCGTCCATTTTTCGGCTCTGAGCCGAGTCTGAGGCTGTTTTGGTCCCAAAATCAGCAAAATTGGCAAAATACCGGGTATTTTGCGGGTATACCTGGAAAACCCCGGGTATACCTGAAAATACCCAGGTATTTTGCCGGTTTCCTCGGTTTCGCCTCAGATTTTGCCCCAGACCAGCTCTCAGACTCAGTCAGTCAGGGAAACTCGCGAGTTTCCCGAGGGAAACTCGAGAGAAACAGAATGGAGCACCAAACACCCTCTGTTTTCCCTGGAAATTTCCGGAAACGCAAAGTGCTGGGGCCCCTCTGTTTTCCTTTTTGTTTGCCGGAAAAGTATATACAGGCCAACATGGGATTGCATTGGCCTCAGAAGAGTCGTCCTTGCGCGAGGAGCGCTCGATAAACTCGAGGGGCCAAATTATGATTTTTCTTGCATTTTTGCTCCCGGCTAAGGGAGCAAGCAAGCCCACTCAACCCCAAGTACTCACCGTTTTACAGTGGTGTTTTTGTCGCATCGGCTGCAGCCTCTGCTGGGGCGGAACGCGCGGGGTTTTCGGCGCGATGCCCTCGGCGAGTACACGCTACAGCACCGCCGCAAGCTCTCCTGCGCGCGCGTGACGTGTGAGACGCGTGCGCTGCGCTCAAACGTCGCGATTTGGCGATAGGCGTTCGAGCCGGCGCACAGCGGATAGGTGCGCCGCGCAGGGGGGGTCGGAGGGGTGCGAGAGGGGGCGTGGGTCGGGCGCGCACCGGCTGGCTCCGGGAGCGGCCGTCACGTCGAGGAGTGGGGCTGTCGGCGGCTCGAGCGCCGAGGCGAGCCGCTCTGCTGCGCCGCCGACAGCCCCTCTTCCGAGCCGGCGCGTGGAGGCGAGCCGCGGCCGGTGTCGCTGGTGTCGCTGGTGCGGTGGCGGCGAGGGTTCATCGGCCGACAGCGAGAGCGACCGTCATGAAAGGAGGGGGGGGGGCTGTCGGCGGCCCGTGTGGCTCTAGGCGCGCCTACGCTGCGCCGCCGCGAGCCTCACTGCCGATCCGGCGCCTGGCGGCGGGGGCGAGCCGCGAACAATCGTCGCTGGTGGTGGTGGTGCGGCGGCGGCGGCTCGCCCTTCACTCCAGCCACGGCTCCGTTCCCGCCGCCGCCCACCGTGCACCTACCACACGCTGCCGAGCAGGCACCCGGCTCAGGGTGGAGTCGGTCGGGCCGTCGGTGCCGGAGCGGCGGCAGTCCATCGTGTACGTGCACGGCGCCTTTGCGCGCCGCGTTGCTGGGCGAGGCGCGCTTGGCGGAGCGTGTGGTGCGTGGAGAGGCGTGTGTTGTGGGGCTGTCTGTCCTTTGTGCTGGCTGCAGCCACAGCCTGCAGCTTCGGTGTTTGTGTTACTTGGCACTGGTTTCTTCCTGTCTTTCTTGACGTCTAGCGGAACCACAGAAGTTCTCCCGCAGGGTTGCTCTAGGTGTGATGTGGGTCCGGGGTTGTGTTTTTGTGTGAACAACATCTCGCGCTTACCGAGCTCAACGGTAAGGTGGGCCGTCTCGCGGAAGCTGACGGTGAGCGGTGGAAGGTGGAGCTGGACGGCAGCGGCGAGGTGGTGAAGGCTCGCGAGCGCAATCTGGAGCTGACGGGCCTCGCGGAGACCGCCTCGCTCGCTGCCGCGCTCGACGACAAGCCGTATGAGTCGTACACATTGCCGCCGCTGCACCTCCCTCGCTACCACCATTATGTGCGAGCGGAGGCGAACGGACGCCGCGAGCCGACGCTCGAGGACGTGTTTCTGCTCGAGTACGAAAAGTTCGGCGACGACAGCAAGCTGTGGCCGGTGCTGGAGAAGGAGAGGGAATGGTACCTCGAGGCGCGCCTCCACGACTTCCTGCTCGCCGACGGCTACGAGCCGCCGAAGGGAGCGGAGCTCGACCGCAAGGCGCCGCTCGCAGCAAAGGCGGCGCGGCGCAAGCGGCGGGAGAGGCTCGAGAAATTCCTATGGCGGGAGCAGCTCCGCGAGCAGATGCTGGAGATGGAGGCGCAGGAGAAGGCCGACCTGCAGCGCGCGCGCAAGGCCATGAACAAGGCGGACCAGACGGCGCGCGACAAGGAGGCGCACGCGCACTTCCTGCGCATCACCGTCCACCTCGGCTCCGGCACGCACGCGCCCAACGTCGGCGGCGACATCCAGGAGGAGCTCCACGCGATCCAGCGGCGCGACGAGCGGGTGCGTCCACCCCCCGCTCTCACCTCCACCCCTCGCACCCGCACCGACCCTCCTTGCCGCGCGCGCTCAGGAGGGCCGGCCCGCCTTTTCTTTCGAGGAGAATTTTAACATCGCGCGCGACGGCCGGAAGGAGGCGGGGAAGCTCGAGCAGCTCTACGTCAAGCACTGCATGCCTGCCATCTCCCTCTGGCCGAGCGTCGCGTGGCCGACGTACTCCCACGCCTCGCGATACGACCACTGGTACACGACCAAGGAGCTCCGCACCTGCCGCCTCTGCTTTGCCCTCACCGCGCAGAGGATTGACGCCGATGTGCACGCGGTCCTCCTCTCGTCGCTGCACGCGCGGCTGCGCCTCGAGGAGACCATCCCGGAAGACAAGTGCGACGACTTCATCGACGGCCTCGTCAAGAAGGGCGAGTACGGCACCGCCGCGGACGAGGTCAACTTCGAGTCGTCCGAGCAGCGCCGCTTCATCGAGGAGAAGTTGAAGAGCGACCTCCGAGAGAGCCGCGCGGAGCGCGGCTGGCTGTGCGGCTGCACGTCGCGGCATCCGATCTGGCGCGAGCGCGGCGCCTATGGCGGCTGCCGCGACTGCTTCGACGCGCAGCTAGTCGAGATGATCGAAACGCGCGCCCTCGGCGCCGACAACCCGCGCAAGAAGGCGTGGGTCGACGCGCGCACCTACGAGTGGGACGTCCACTACTTCTACCCGATGGCCGACGAGGCGGCGCGGGAGCTGATGCAGAGCGGCACGTTCACCGAGTCGCACAAGGAGGAGCTCAGGCAGCGGCTGCGTGCCGCGCGCGCGGCGGATGCGGCGGCAGAGGCGGATGCCGAGGCGGTGGCTGAGGCGGCAGAGGAGGCGGCGAGGGAGAAGGCGCTGGCGGAGGCGGCGGGTTGGGCGGCGGCGGCGGCGGAGAGCGCGGGGCCCGACAACGCCTCGCTGCCGTCGGCAGCCGCAAGCGTGGCCGCCACGCCGGGCGCCTTTGCCTCTCGCGACATGCACATGTGCCCCGACCCCGATTGCGCGGACTGCGCGGCGGAGTTTGAGTGTATGGCGTGCGTGGGGGAGGACGAGGGCGGCGTGCTGGTGTGAGCGTGTGAGAGGGCTGGCTCTGTGACACACGCCTCTTGCTCTTCGGTCCTCGCTCTTCCCGGTCGCGCGCGGAGTCTGGATTGTCGCCAGTCGCGAGTGCGCGGGTACGCGTGTGCGTGCGGGTCGGCGTGTGTGTGCATGTGTGCGTGGGGACGCGTGCATTCTTAATCATTCTCTTTGCGAACTTACAATACACACTCTCTAGCTGTCGCGCTGACTGTGGACTCGCGACAGCTGTGGCTGTGTGATGAACACACGCGCTCGCACAAGGTCTACCGATGCACAGTAAATTCGCGCCACCAAGACCGCGCGGCACGTACGCGCACTTGCCGGCCTCGAGGCGCGCTCTCGTTGCGCGGCATGCCCTGTGGTGTCAGCGCTTCGCCTCGGAGCCGCTCGACTGTACGAGAGTCGGGCTCCGGCCGTCGGTACCACGGCAGCGTCGGCGTGCTCCCTTCCGGCCGCGACAGGCGCGAGGCGGGTGGCGGTGCGGCGGCTGCTGATGCTGCTGCCGCGCAGAGCTGTTCGTGCAGCCGAGAAGTGGCACACAGCTCGAAGGCGGCGTCGGCGACCGCCGCGCTGGCTCTCTCTCCTCGGCAGACGCCGCGTCGCGTCTCGGCGGCGGCAGCTATGCTTCGCCGCGAGAGTAGCGAGGCGACGCACGCGCCTCCGCTCTGCGGCAGCAGCCTCTAGCGAACGCGCCGGCAAGCGCTGGGCCGGGCGAGGGCGAGCCGAGAAACTCGTCGTCACGGCCCTGGTGTGTACTTGTTACGTGAAAACCCGCTGGGACCAACCGGACGCCAGCACACACGGCTAGATTTCATGGCGGGCCGCCTCCTCGTGTGAATCGCTTATCCGGCGCTCGAGGAAATAACACCGTTCGGGCTTCAAGTTACTTCGAAACCTGAGAGAGAGAGATTTTTCTTGCATTTTTGCTCCCGGCTAATGTGTTTGTCGTCTGTGTATCTGTGTTTCGCGCGGGCGCCTAAGTTGACCACAAATCCCGCCTAAAAAATTGAAAAAACCACCCTCGGAGTGTTCCGACGAAAAAGCTAAATGGGCAACCTAAATGGGCGGTTCGGGTCCCCGGGGGGGGGGGGGGGGGCACCCGGGGCGCCTCACTCTGAGGAGCTCCGCCCCGCCCCTGCCCCTCACTGCCCCGGGGGTGGGGCCTCACCCGCAGCCGGCGCGTCCCGGGGTGGGGTCTCGGGGTGAGCCCCGGGTGAGGCCCGCCCCCCCCCCGTCCTCGGGCTACTGTGATCTAAAGATATAAGGGCCTCGCGTTGTCCGCCGTTTATCCCCGTGACCTGCGCAATTCGTGATACCGAGGAGTCTCGAGCTTCAGCTGGTCCTACCATCATGCCGCTCTCGGAACCGCAGCGGCGCGAGCGCCGCGCCGCGCAGCGCGCTGCCGAGGCTCAGGACGCGGCTCGCGGGCAGCGCAACCGCCCGGCGCCGAGCCGGTGCTAGGCCGCCTCCGCTGCGCCTGCTTCCTTGCGCGCCGCTGGACGTCGGCCGAGAAGACCGCTTCCCTCTGGGGACCCGACTCCGCGAAGATCGCGCGCGCGTCGTGAGTGGCGGCGCGCGCGCGATCTCCGTTCCCGGCCACGCCGGTCGCAGTGGCATGGGCTCACAGGCTCAAAAGCGCTCCCGTCAACAGCGAGCGAGCGCCGCCGCTGCTCCTCCTCCCGCCGCCGCTCCGCTCACCGAGACAAACTCGGTGCCGCCGTTCTCGCCGCCGCCGCCACCGCCGCCGCCTCGCCCCTCGCCTCCGTCACCGCCGCCCTCCATCTCGCGGCGGCGTCCCTCTGATGGCGCGGGCGCCTCGCTCACCGGCGCCTCGCCGCCGCCCCCCCCCTTCTCGCGCCGCTCCGCTCGAGCGTGGCCGCCGCCTCCCCTGTCAATCCCGCCGCCTCCCCTGTCATCCCGCCGCCCGCACCACCGCCGCCACCGCCTCGCGCCTCGCCGCCGCCGCCACCGACCGCCCTCTCCCCTACGCCGCTGAGCGCGCCGCGGTGCAGGGGGCGAGCCCCCGCTGCGCAGCCTCACCGCAGTGCACTGCGCTCTCCGCGCCCCTGACGATTAGTTGGTGTTGCACAGCATGGAGCTCGGCGAGCGTTTAGCGAGCCCCTCAGCTAGTAAACACATAAGGGAGCAAGCAAGCCCACTCAACCCCAAGTACTCACCGTTTTACAGTGGTGTTTTTGTCGCATCGGCTGCAGCCTCTGCTGGGGCGGAACGCGCGGGGTTTTCGGCGCGATGCCCTCGGCGAGTACACGCTACAGCACCGCCGCAAGCTCTCCTGCGCGCGCGTGACGTGTGGGACGCGTGCGCTGCGCTCAAACGTCGCGATTTGGCGATAGGCGTTCGAGCCGGCGCACAGCGGATAGGTGCGCCGCGCAGGGGGGGTCGGAGGGGTGCGAGAGGGGGCGTGGGTCGGGCGCGCACCGGCTGGCTCCGGGATCGGCCGTCACGTCGAGGAGTGGGGCTGTCGGCGGCTCGAGCGCCGAGGCGAGCCGCTCTGCTGCGCCGCCGACAGCCCCTCTTCCGAGCCGGCGCGTGGAGGCGAGCCGCGGCCGGTGTCGCTGGTGTCGCTGATGCGGTGGCGGCGAGGGTTCATCGGCCGGCAGCGAGAGCGACCGTCATGAAAGGAGGGGGGGGGGGCTGTCGGCGGCCCGTGTGGCTCTAGGCGCGCCTACGCTGCGCCGCCGCGAGCCTCACTGCCGATCCGGCGCCTGGCGGCGGGGGCGAGCCGCGAACAATCGTCGCTGGTGGTGGTGGTGCGGCGGCGGCGGCGGCTCGCCCTTCGCTCCAGCCGCGGCTCCGTTCCCGCCGCCGCCCACCGCACCTACCACACGCCGCCGAGCAGGCACCCGGCTCAGGGTGGAGTCGGTCGGGCCGTCGGTGCCGGAGCGGCGGCAGTCCGTCGTGTACGTGCACGGCGCCTTTGCGCGCCGCGTTGCGGGGCGAGGCGCGCTTGGCGGAGCGTGTGGTGCGTGGAGAGGCGTGTGTGGTGGGGCTGTCTGTCCTTTGTGCTGGCTGCAGCCACAGCCTGCAGCTTCGGTGTTTGTGTTACTCAACTTGTGCGGCTGGCCGCATTTTGGCACTGGTTTCTTCCTGTCTTTCTTGACGTCTAGCGGAAGTCCGCAGGGTTACTCTAGGTGTGAACAACATCTCGCGCTCAAATCTCCGACTGGTCGTTGCGACATCCCCACGACGTCCCATCCCATCCCATGCGCCGCACGCCGCAAGAGGTGCGTCGCCTTCAAGGCCAGAGAGTCGCGTTGCGCGACCTCGCGAGCCGTACCGAGCTCAACGGTAAGGTGGGCCGTCTCGCGGGAGCTGACGGTGAGCGGTGGACGGTGGAGCTGGACGGCAGCGGCGAGGTGGTGAAGGCTCGCGAGCGCAATCTGGAGCTGACGGGCCTCGCGGAGACCGCCTCGCTCGCTGCCGCGCTCGACGACAAGCCGTATGAGTCGTACACATTGCCGCCGCTGCACCTCCCTCGCTACCACCATTATGTGCGAGCGGAGGCGAACGGACGCCGCGAGCCGACGCTCGAGGACGTGTTTCTGCTCGAGTACGAAAAGTTCGGCGACGACAGCAAGCTGTGGCCGGTGCTGGAGAAGGAGACGGAATGGTACCTCGAGGCGCGCCTCCACGACTTCCTGCTCGCCGACGGCTACGAGCCGCCGAAGGGAGCGGAGCTCGACCGCAAGGCGCCGCTCGCAGCAAAGGCGGCGCGGCGCAAGCGGCGGGAGAGGCTCGAGAAATTCCTATGGCGGGAGCAGCTCCGCGAGCAGATGCTGGAGATGGAGGCGCAGGAGAAGGCCGACCTGCAGCGCGCGCGCAAGGCCATGAACAAGGCGGACCAGACGGCGCGCGACAAGGAGGCGCACGCGCACTTCCTGCGCATCACCGTCCACCTCGGCTTCGCCACACACGCGCCCAACGTCGGCGGCGACATCCAGGAGGAGCTCCGCGCGATCCAGCGGCGCGACGAGCGGGTGCGCCCACCCCCGCTCTCACCTCCACCCCTCGCACCCGCACCGACCCTCCTTGCCGCGCGCGCTCAGGAGGGCCGGCCCGCCTTTTCTTTCAAGGAGAATTTTAACATCGCGCGCGACGGCCGGAAGGAGGCGGGGAAGCTCGAGCAGCTCTACATCAGGCACTGCATGCCCGCCATCTCCCTCTGGCCGAGCGTCGCGTGGCCGACGTACTCCCACGCCTCGCGCTACGACCACTGGTACACGACCAAGGAGCTCCGCACCTGCCGCCTCTGCTTCGCCCTCACCGCGCAGAAGATGGACGCCGAGGTGCACGCGGTCCTCCTCGCGTCGCTGCACGCGCGGCTGCGCCTCGAGGAGACCATCCCGGAAGACAAGTGCGACGACTTCATCGACGGCCTCGTCAAGAAGGGCGAGTACGGCACCGCCGCGGACGAGGTCAACTTCGAGTCGTCCGAGCAGCGCCGCTTCATCGAGGAGAAGTTGAAGAGCGACCTCCGAGAGAGCCGCGCGGAGCGCGGCTGGCTGTGCGGCTGCAAGATGCGCTACCCGATCTGGCGCGAGGGGGGCGCCTACGGCGGCTGCCGCGACTGCTTCGTAGCGCAGCTCGTTGAGATGATCGAAACGCGCGCGCTCGGCGCCGACGACCCGCGCAACAAGGCGTGGGTCGACGCGCGCACCTACGAGTGGGACGTCCACTACTTCTACCCGATGGCCGACGAGGCGGCGCGGGAGCTGATGCAGAGCGGCACGTTCACCGAGTCGCACAAGGAGGAGCTCAGGCAGCGGCTGCGTGCCGCGCGCGCGGCGGATGCGGCGGCAGAGGCGGAGGCCGAGGTGGTGGCTGAGGCGGCAGAGGAGGCGGCGAGGGAGAAGGCGCTGGCGGAGGCGGCGGGTTGGGCGGCGGCGGCGGCGGAGAGCGCGGGGCCCGACAACGCCTCGCTGCCGTCGGCAGCCGCAAGCGTGGCCGCCACGCCGGGCGCCTTTGCCTCTCGCGACATGTGCATGTGCCCCGACCCCGATTGCGCGGACTGCGCGGCGGAGTTTGAGTGTATGGCGTGCGTGGGGGAGGACGAGGGCGGCGTGCTGGTGTGAGCGTGTGAGAGGGCTGGCTCTGTGACACGCCTCGCTTGCTCTACCTCTTCGGTCCCGTCGCTCTTCCCGGTCGCGCGCGGAGTCTGGATTGTCGCCAGTCGCGAGTGCGCGGGTACGCGTGTGCGTGCGGGTCGGCGTGTGTGTGCATGTGTGCGTGGGGACGCGTGCATTCTTAATCATTCTCTTTGCGAACTTACAATACACACTCTCTAGCTGTCGCGCTGACTGTGGACTCGCGACAGCTGTGGCTGTGTGATGAACACACGCGCTCGCACAAGGTCTGCCGATGCACAGTAAATTCGCGCCACCAAGACCGCGCGGCACGTACGCGCACTTGCCGGCCTCGAGGCGCGCTCTCCTTGCGCGGCATGCCCTGTGGTGTCAGCGCTTCGCCTCGGAGCCGCTCGACTGTACGAGAGTCGGGCTCCGGCCCTCGGTACCACGGCAGCGTCGGCGTCCTCCCTTCCGGCCGCGACAGGCGCGAGGCGGGTGGCGGTGCGGCGGCTGCTGCTGATGCTCCTGCCGCGCAGAGCTGTCGTGCCGGCGAGAGGTGGCACACAGCTCGAAGGCGTCGGCGACCGCCGCGCTGGCTCTCTCTCCTCGGCAGACGCCGCTTCGCGTCTCGGCGGCGGCAGCTGCTTCGCCGCGAGAGTAGCGAGGCGACGCACGCGCCTCCGCTCTGCGGCAGCAGCCTCTAGCGAACGCGCCGGCAAGCGCTGGGCCGGGCGAGGGCGAGCCGAGAAACACGTTGGGACGGCCCTCGTGTGAATCGCTTATCCGGCGCTCGAGGAAATAACACCGTTCGGGTTTCAAGTTACTTCGAAACCTGTAACGGCGAAAGAAAACGGAGGAAAACGCGAGAAAAGAGAAGGGCTATTGCTCACACTCTCTCTGAGAAGAATAGGTGTGCTGCGCTGTAGCTAGCGGCGACAGGCGACGGCAAAAATGCAAGCCCCGCCCCTGGCCACTGTTATTAACCAACAAGAAATCACGACTCTTCAAATTATGCCGCGAGGAGGGCGGAGTTACGCAGAGAGGCGAGAGGAGCAGCGAGAGCAACAAACAAACACAAACAAAAAAGGCAGACGGCAGCGGCGTCTCAGAACGAGGCCGAGGAGAGCGATGAGTCAGAGGATGAAACAGCAGGAGAGAGAGAGAACGAGGACGAGAGTGGGAAGAACGAGAGGTGGCATGAAGCGACAATGAAGGTCGCTGCGAGAATTGGTGAGAAACGCCGGTGGGGTCTAACAAGACGCCGTAGCGAGCTGCCAATGGTGGCCGCTGCCTCGGGCAGTGGCCACGGTAGCCGACCCAGGGCTCCTACGCGGCTACAGCCGTGCGCGACCGCTGCCGCTGGCACCGGTCGCGAGGACTCTGGCTCGGCATGCGCGCCACCGGCCGGTGGGCCGCGCTCCGCAGGACGACGCCTAGATGCAAAAGGCATCCCGTGCACGCTTCAGCAGAGCTCGGCCGGCCGGCCGCCGCGATGGGGCGGCGAGCACCTGGAGGCCCCTCCTGGCGCTGCTGCCTCAGCTCGACCGCCGGGCGCGCCGCGAGGCGAGCAGCAGCGAGGCGAGCAGCAGCGAGGCGAGCAGGAGGGGGGCGAGCAGGAGGGGGGCGGGCAGCCGCGAGGCGACCTGCTGCGAGGCGACGTCTGCCGCCGCGCTGGCTACCCGCTTCCTCGCCAGCCCATTCTCTCTCTCGAGGAGGAGCTGTGCGAGGCGCTTGGCGTCAGTCTGGACGACGCCGACGTGGTTGTCCTCCGGGAGGCCCTTCGGCGGGGGTGCGGAACCAGAGTGAGATGCGGCGGGCGGGGCCGCGAGGCGGCGGCGAGTGGCAGAGCGTCATGCGATGCGGCGGCTGCCAGGGCTGCGCCCACCCGCGACTCAGGTCCGGGTTTGACCTGGGCGCGCAGTGTGCTTCGTCTCCCTGGGGCAACCCTTTCCCCCTTCGCGATCCCCGCGACTCGTTTGGGCGCAGGGAGTGCGTCCGCGAGTTTGCTGCGCGCCTTCGGGCCAGCCCTGCTTTTGTCGAGCGCGTCCGGCGGGAGCTCGCGGGCTTCTTTCTCGCCTGCTGTTGCTCCTCTTGCTCGGACCCCTCGAAGCGCCGACTTTGCCACGGGCACATCCTCTTCTAACTCGATGGAGGCTCTGCCGCGATTGGTGC